GGTAGTATTATGTTATTTATGCTTATAGATTAGACCAAAGTTAGAGTGACCCAAAATAAAGCATACATTCACTTTCACTCATTCAGTAGCTGTCGTGTACCTAATTACACAAACATGAACATCAGAACGCAGGAACATAGCAGGTAGGACCTGTATTTGAAGCTACCCAATGTTCTCGCCCCTTGGAATTTGTTCCACTCATCTAGAATTCTATTGTCAAACCAGTACTTCCCGATATCATTTCTAAATCTGAATTTGTCTAAATTGAATCCATTGCTGTGAGTCCTGTCTTGGTTAGATACTTTCGACACGTTATTTATATCCCCTTTATTTATTCTTACTTTTCATTTGCACACTTTCGTCACATCCCTCCTAATTCTACACTTTTCTACGTCTTTCATGTGACCCTCCCTACTGCAACATGGCCACCCCTTCTTCAGAGTGCAGGCGATGCAATTCCTGCCTCCAGGATTCATGTCCGTAAGGACTGAAGTCGCTGTCGCATACCAACAGAAAGTTAAATCCTCAAAGCCACTTGTTTCCAATCCCTACGATCAAACATGCTCACACACGCTTGCTGTATGCCCAAGCCCCTACCAATTAAATTCTTCATACCTCTCTCTAATCCTTCCTGAGACAACCCCTACCTCTTCTTCCTTCCATTTAGATTTATACACTTTGGTCATCCTATATTGCTCCATCTTCTCCAAATACCCAAAACACCTCATAACAATAAAAATGCTTTCAAATGAGCTGATGTAGGTAACAGCTCATAGCCTGCCAATAAAGTTAGGAATCCTTAACTTGTAAATAGCTTGTCAATAAAGCTAGGGATCCTGAACCTTGTCAAACCCTGTGTAAAAAAAAAAAAAAAACTCAACATTGCCCTCTGAATTATACCTTTCGTAACCCAATACCTTCCTATAATTTTTATGCTCTCAAAATTAACTTTCCCTACTGCCTCCAGCCTCGAGAGTCTTCTCCTTTGAAGTTCATACCTCACACTCATATATATGTGTGTGTGTATATATATATATATATATATATATATATATATATATATATAATATATATATATATATATATATATATATATATATATATATATATATATATATGTCGTGCCGAATATGTAAAACTGGTCAATTAGCAAGAACTCATTTAAAATTAAGTCCTTTCTGAAATTTCTTTTATACGTTTTTAAAAATATATTTTTTTTCATTAATGTTGATGTAAAAATTTTTAATTTTGCACCAAAAGAATCTTAGAAAACTTACCTAACCTTATTATAAAAAGAGCAATTTATTTTAGCCTAACCCAACTAAATATATTTTAAATACGTTTACAATAATTTAGTACTAAACAAACACAATCAAATATATTTTTTTCGTTAGGTTCAGAATGATTTTGGCGAAATTATTGCATACACAAGTTTTCACTTGTCCTATATGGCAAGATGAGCGTTGCTATTTAAGCCAAGATCGCAAGTTCTGCCTATTCGGCACGACATATATATATATATATATATTATATATATATATATATATATATATATATATATATATATATATATATATATATATATATATAATATATATATATAATATATATATATATATATATATTTTATACAATCTGTTCGTATATATATGCATAAGTTTAAATGCATACATGTACACATACACGAATTCGTATTCCCTCTTACATACACTCACATGTACATACGTACACACATAAATACACATATTTACATGCACATAATTCGTGCATGTATACATATACATACCCACGCGCAAACATATAATAAACATGGGGTAAATGCATACATATTTATGAATACATAAGCACGCGCACACGTTTATATTTTGCTGCATAAGAATTTTATGAGCCACCAACATTATCACTGTCCCGTGAGGTGGACGGGACTCAGCTTGTAGCACACGTGCACACCTTTCTTGGAGCGTCTGAAACACTTTTAGGAGAAATTTCAATCATAATAGCTCATTTATGGCAAGTTTTCATTACCCCTGAAACATTATTGTTATGATTATTAAGTATCTGCTTTATATATTGTGAATATTTTAGTGTTGTGCCGCTTGACCAGCGCTGTAGACGCGGAGTTTAACATCATTAATTGGTGGTGGTGGTGAAGCTTCGTCCCACAAGAAACAGAATACTGCCTCAACATACAGGTCATAGATGATGATACGGGAAGTAATTAAGCAAGGGCTGGCCTACCCGTGATAAGGACTCGTCCTACTTATCAGAAAGAGTTTCATCATAGCATAGCAGAGTTAACGGTGCCATCTTTCTCTCGTGAAGGACAAGCAAAACACGGAGACCTGACTCTTGAGTACTCAGCTCTCAAGAGCCTACAGTAGAAAGAATTATTATTATTATTTATGTATAGGTCTTTAGGCACAAGAAGCGAAGGCTCGATTCTCCGTTCGTTAATTACGAGACTGACAAGATACCTAAATGTTGAAACAGCAGGTTTAAGGGACATTTAAAGAGCCTGATACAATAGTTAGCTGCAATAATTAATATAGTGGATAAAAAGAGCCGTAATGTAACAAAATATAACTTTGTGGATTATCCCTACTTTTCCTGAGACCCCGGAAATACAGCAGGAAACGCTAAGCCACAAGGGCTATATAGCACTACAGTCAGTCACAAAAAAAAAAAAATTAAAAAAAAAAAAAAAAAAAAAAAAACTTGAGAGTCTACATAGCAATTTGTGACTGCCAAGCAACTATATCACAAATTTAGTAGCGCAAGAACAGCTTGTCTGATACTAAGACAAAGTTCTGATATCACGGAAAAATGTTTGAGTCAGCGATAAGGCAAGATGTCAAAAAGCCAATATGAATATACTAATTATCTGTCATTAAAGGTTATTTCCTGTTAAAATGTTGGGAAAAATAGTGTTTAACGTCGTTCAGGACCACTAAACCAGTAGGAGACATACAGCGCCTGAGGAACAGGAAGTACTCAGGTTTGATCCGAGGAAGGGGAGGGTAGCTCTAGTTCTTTGGATTAAGAGTTCTTACCAATATCAAGAAACTCTTTTTGAGGGACGTGTGGGTGGAATATTTCTTAAAGTGACGCCTCATTTCAGAGTCCTCGGAAATACGAGTCAGAGACTTTTAGTCTGAGAACTGTAAGAGGATTCACCAGGGTCCAGGAGATTATCATCTGAAAGGTCTCGTTAGTGTGTGTGATTATCTCAAACAAGATAATCTTTGAGGAGAAAATCATAGTATAAGCGCTCTCATATTTCAGATGATGTGGCTCATAACATGTATCACTGGACGACAACACTGCTCTGTGTGGCAGGTTTAATTTTTAAGGAGAAGCTATTGCAGAAATGTGTGTGAGAGAGATAGATAGATAGATAGATAGATAGATAGAGAGAGAGAGAGAGAGAAGAGAGAGAGAGGAGAGAGAGAGAGAGAGAGAGAGAGAGAGAGAGAGAGAGAGAGAGAGAGAGAGAGAGAGAGAGAGAGAGAGAGAGAGAGAGAGAGAGAGAGAGAGAGAAGAGAGGAGAGAGAGGAGAGAGAGAGAGAGAGGAGAGAGAGAGGAGAGAGAGAGAGAGAGAGAGAGAGAGAGAGTGAGATAGAGAGTGGTGACGGGGAGTAATTATGGAAATGTACATCCCAAGTTATTAAGTCATATACTTCCATTACACAACACAGCAACTACTTTAACCACATGACCTGCCACCTATGATGCTCTCTCTTCCTTCCGGCTCCACTCTCTTCATTCATGCTGCTAAGCTCATTCATCCTCCACTCAAACTCCTTTTCCGGCCTGGCAGTGGCCAGGTTACCAGATATCCGCTTACGCACACAATTATTAAAGCAATCACGTCTTTCCTAGTGGAAATTGAGCCATTTCACTACACAAATAAAGTAACCAAAGGCAGATATAAGAAATCTTGCAGGAAAATCAACCTATGTTGAAAGATAATGGCTGAAAAGAGAGAAAGCTGAGTAGTACTCTAGGCTTCCAGTGGACGTTCTGAGAAGAGGTGAAGGGTTCCCATGTTTCTTAGTGTTGTGACTCACCCAACACATCCGCTGCAACACTGACTCATCAAGTTGCTGCATTTCACACAGCTCATCATAATTTCAAGGCTTGCGATTAGTGTATGTGTCGTGGTTAAAGCCTAGTGAGTTCAAGACAAACATTAAAACGGAATTTCATCGGAAAACAAACAAAATGCGTCTCGGTGTATATGGACTGTGAACACAATTAATTACTAGATATTATTGCTAAATGATAATTTATTATTCATCTCTGCACAAAATTATGAATTATTATTATTATTATTAGTATTATTATTATTATTATTATTATTATTATTATTATTATTATTATTATTATTATTATTATTATTATTATTATTACTATTATTATTATTATCATCATTGTCATCATCATCATCATCCTCATTATCTCACTATCAACATCATCTAAAGTCCAAGATGTTAATAATAATTAAATTTTATCATAAAATAATTCATTATAACAAGTTTATACATCAAACTTCAGCATGTCAACTAATTTATAAATTATAACAGTTCTGTTCTCATACTGAGAGACTCTTCAGAAGTAATGACCCACATTATCATCATGCGTTGAGGAAAAGTGAGCAAATGATACTTTAATTACCGCCTAAATAGGAGTTCAATGAGTGCTTCAAGTCAAGTGGGAATTGTAGTAAATTCTGAGTAAACTTGGGAAGATCAGCACCAAGGATGCTCAAGGCAGATTCAACTGTTAAGTGAATTTATTTTGTTTAGTATTATATAAATCATGTGGACTGTATACCAGGTTCTCATCGGTCGAGTTCACTGTAATAATGCATAATGAAGTAATATTCTTGTAAAAGAAATGTGTTATTTAGATAAGAGTAACCTTTGAAGACTGTGTGGGAGTATGTGGCATCCTTGGACCGGATCTTGGGGACGTAGAGTATATATAGGAGTGCGAGGGTTATGAGGAGTCAGGTGAGCGTTGAGTGTCAGTGCGAGTGGTGTTAGCACTTGGACGCTTACAATAAGACACTCTACGCCCTCAACACATTTATTTTGGATTAAAGCGTGACGGGACACTGAAGGAAGGCTGTGTACAGTTGGCTCTAGCGACCTTAGAATCATGGCGACTTTGACTAAAGTTTTAGGAGTAATGGTTCTAGCAGCCGTGGTATCAACTCAGCCAGTCAAAGTTTCCATCAGTGGCACTAATTCAGCCCTGGTAAGTATTTATCCCAAAGTTATTTAATAGTAAACATCAAGATTTTTTACATATATATGGTTATAAGGAAAGTGTTATTATAATCTACTTGATATAAATACCTTTCAATCCCAAAAAATTAATTAAAGACGACATACGAAGAATTCATTCTTACGTTGCCCTTGTTAATAAAATTATAATTTCAACGAGAAGTGAATTAAATGTTGGCAAAGCAACGTAATTCTAGTGAGTAATACAGGATTTAAGAGCTTATAAACTGATATTAACAACACATGTACCAGCTTAGCTGGACCACTAACCACGTACATCATTCATTATTGGGACAATAATAGGTTCAAGTACTGACTTTAACATTTCAGAGATAAAAAAGTTAGTGGTAATGTACTAGTCACAGATTTATAAAGTGTTTACAATATTATTGAATATTTACATAGTTATGAATTCAGTAAAAAAGTTTGCATTGAAAATTGTGTGGTTATAAGTTATTTACGTTGCCCAATAATAAGTTATGGTTATATTAGCAAGTTATTGGTTACTTACAATAAACAAGCAGAGTACATTTCCAGAATCACTGGTAATGCACAAAGCTGTATAAAATGCTTCTATATTTCTTAAACATTTGTGAGCGGATTGTTTCTGATTTCCTGGGTTATTTTCAAATTCAAGCCCATAATAATGCAGGCTGTGATAATTGATCCGCAAGACAGTCAACATGTAGTAATGCCTGAATAAAAATTCATATAAAGTGGTGGCGGAAACATTAAATTCAGGAAGCTTAGACGCAACCCCTGCGTCAGTCACTGACGCAACCCCCACACACACACACACCTGACAAATTATACTCTACTTATTATGTAGGTTAAATACTGATAATTTAGTCACAAACTGCATGCCATTAATAATGTTTTATGGAAACATTGCAGAAATTCAAAGCATCAGTGGGAAAACAGCTGTATATTTAACCTGAATAAGGCTTACTTACATTTTCTGATAACCTCGACAGGCAGTGACGTTTAATATTCTCTGAGAATAAGGACCTAATGTTAACATTTGCTTTAGACAACGCGAATGACAGAATTTCCAAATTAACTACACACTTTCTCTCTCTTTCTCTCTCTCTCTCTCTCTCTCTCTCTCTCTCTCTCTCTCTCTCTCTCTCTCTCTCTCTCTAACTCTCTCTAACTCTCTCTCTAACTCTCTAACTCTCTCTCTCTCTCTCTCTCTAAGTGCTTGATTCTTATAATTTAAAATAATTTTTCGTGTTATATTCATTTTGGCTGTCACGAAATCGAAAACAATTCATAATATAAAATATATTAGTTCAGTACATGAACAACAATTCTAGACCACTTTGCAGTTACAAAGCGCTGTTACTACCATTAGAAGAATTTAAGTGTACTTAACGTAATTATAATTCTTAAATAGTTAACGTACGTAAGTGTGGTTACCATGCATGCATTATGAGTATGATTAACGTAATTACAATATAAATGTGGTTAACGCATTTAAAGTATCAGTGGTTAACGTGCATACAATATAAATGTGGGCAATGTATTCACAATGTAAATGTATTTAACGTACGTACAATATAATGGGAAAGTAATCACACTAAGTTTTGTTGACAGCATGCATTCGCGTACAGTGGGAAATTATATATTTTATATATATATATATATATATATATATATATATATATATATATATATATATATATATATATATATATATTATATATATATATATATAATATATATATATATATATTATATATATATTATATATTATATATATATATATATAATTAACGTAACTAAGTTTCCAACCCCCATTTCCTCTCCTACATTCCGTTTCTTTGGTTACACACCATTAATCACTCCATGCATGCCGTTCCCATGGTTACACACGTTCCTCGTCCCACCATTCCGTTCTAGGTATAAGCCAGGTTACACGCCGTTCATCGTCCCCTTTGTTCCGTTCCCTTGACTACATGTTCCTCGTTGTAACCATTCCATTCCCTTTGTTACACGTCGTTCCTCGTCTTCCCTTTCTCCCTGCGAGCAGCATTCACGTCTGGTGGGTACTGGAGTTTACCTGGACCTGGTACTCGCCTAATTGTGGTTACAGGAGCCTAGACTCAGCTCCTGGCCCCGCCCCTTCACTGATCGCTACAAGGTTCTCTCTCTCTCTCTCTCTCTCTCTCTCTCTCTCTCTCTCTCTCTCTCTCTCTCTCTCTCTCTCTCTCTCTCTCTCTCTCTCTCTCTCTGCTTCCTGAGCTTTGTCATACCTCGTCTTAAAGCTATGTATGGTTCCTGCCTCCACTACATCACTTGCTAAGCTATTCCACTTCCTGACGACTTCACTTGCTAGGCTATTCCACTTCCTGACGACTTCACTTGCTAGGCTATTCCACTTCCTGACGACTCTATGATTGAAGAAATACTTCCTAACATCCCTGTGACTGAAGAAATACATCCTAACATCCCTGTGATTCGTCTGTCTTCAGCTTCCAATTGTGACCCCTTGTTTCTGTGTCCCCTCTCTGGAACAACCTGTCTCTGTCCATCTTATCAATTCCACGCAGTATTTTGTATGTCGTTATTATGTCTCCCCTGACCCTCCTGTCCTCCAGTGTCGTCAGTCCGATTTCCCTCAACCTTTCTTCGTAGGACATTCCCCTGAGCTCCGGAACTAGCCTTGTTGCAAACCTTTGCACTTTCTCTAATTTTTTGACGTGCTTGACCAGGTGTGGGTTCCAAACCGGTGCTGCATGCTCCAGTATGGGCCTGATGTACACAGTGCACAGTGTCTTGAACGATTCCTTACTAAGGTATCGGAACGCTATTCTCAGGTTTGCCAGGCGCCCATATGCCGCAGCAGTTATCTGGTTGATGTGTGCCTCCGGAGACATGCTCAGTGTTATACTCACCCCAAGATCTTTCTCCTTGAGCGAGGTTTGCAGTCTTTGGCCACCTAGCCTATATTCTGTCTGCGGTCTTCTTTGCCCTTCTCCGATCTTCATGACTACATTTGGCAGGGTTGAATTCAAGAAGCCAGTTGTTGGCTTCTTGAATTCAACCCTGCCAAATGGTGCGTGTGCGTGTGCGTGTGTGTGCGTGTGCATGTGTGTGCGTGTGCATGTGTGTGCGTGTGCGTGTGTGTGCGCGAGTGCGCGCTTACTTTTTACATACTTGTGTGTTTACAAACATTATCTCTCAGTCCAAAACAGGATTTGAACTTAAAGATAGGGCACTCCAGCTGTGTGGACGAAGCACAGTACAAAAAAAAATCCCGAAGCTCTAGTTAAAGTATAAGGTTGTCCTGAAAACAGGATTATTTTTGCATAGATATGACTTTATCCACATACTAGCTGCCATTCAAGCCGGAAGCTCCAGCTCTTGGTCTCCACCGTTTTATATTTGGCTGATGGGATGACGCCCTAACACATGGTACCTGGCACATGCATTGTCATTGAGAGTATAGTGTAAGTGTTACCTGTGACAAAAGGCGCCTCTCACAGTCCAGCAGCAACCTATCCTTATTTTACTGCATTAATTTTTTAATGATGTTTCCGGCGTCCATTTTGTAGTATCCTGTAGCTACAATTACTTTTTTTTTTCTTTATTATAGGCTAGGTTGATTTATGTTATGAAAGGTTAAATTTGGCTACATATACCTATGAAAACGTACATCTAACCAGAAATAAACAAATTAAGAAAACAGCCTCGATACATCGGGCAACAGATTGGCCGAAATTGGAAACGTTCTAATCTGAATGATTATAACTCGTAGTGCGAGAATGGGTTGTAGACAGACATTAATTCCGTGCTGCAAATTCTGCTGTCTAAAGTGGAGAGGACTCGCCCCATGTTCATTGGGTCAGTAATTCTAGCCCACACAATCCCTCCCTCTCTACGTCGTTAGATTCACGAAAGTAACTTGATTTTAAATTTAACAATTACTAAATGTGCTAGCTTCTTAAACTTAATGCCTCCCGACTGCACGTCGGTCATTAAGGCTGCAGTTCACCTGTAAACTAACATCTGAATATTTAAATTTAAAAATAAAATAAAACACTCCTAGCGTGCATACAGGTCACTAGAGATAAGACCCTTTGGGGTATTTACACTGTAAACATGTGATAATGCGAGTGTCTGAGTTAATACTGCGAGCCTGGTTGTTTCCTCTGAGAGCCATACAGGTTTAGCCCTTTTTTGTATAATATTTACGTTAGAAGTTTAATAGAGAGAGAGAGACCTTTGAAGTTAGAAACCTGTTTAGAAGCAGAGGTATACGCTAGCAATTATTTAAGTATCAGATGTTTTAATATGCTGTGTGAGACCCTGTGATTTCTGAATTTCACTCCTTGTTCGTGTAATTCCATGTGACTGTACTTACTGTGTTGCATCGTGTAAGTCTAGTTAATCTTTTTTAATAACACCGTACTATTCTTTAGCATTTCCTTCGTGTAACACCGTCTCATTTGATAGTTACTCCTTGTTACTGTAACTCATGAGATTCCGCAGTTATTACTTGCTATGTAACTCCATATAATCCTGTAGTTACTCCCTTTTTTCCATGCGATACTTTGTGATTCTGTAGTTACCTTTTGTTCGGGTAACTGCCAGATCAGATATCCATGTGTTCAGTTTTGCTTGGTCTTAATTATCCTCTCGGCTTTAGATTACCCAGTGTTAACTGATTCGAGTTTCAAGTTAAAGCCTAACGATTATATGATTTCCTATAAGAATCTTTAATCGCTCAGATAAGTGTTAAGTAATCTTTAAAAGTATATGTATACATAAATACACCTCGGTGCATATTCCTATACATAGCTCCCACTGTATATACACAGAAATACATGTGTATATGTACTGATATACACCTCGGTGTATATACATACTTTTCGGCGTATACAACTATCTCGTATATGCACTTGAGATATATACACCTCGAGGTATATATATTCTGATTTACATACCAATCGGTATATATACTGATGT